AGTGTCGTGAACGATGTTCTCATTCATACCTACGTCATTATTTCAGCTCGAGTTGTCTTCATGCACTCAGTTTCAGTTTCTCTGACTACTTTTTCAAAAGACTGGCTCCAACGTAGTCTATCATGAAGCACTGATGCGTAACCCATCACCTTGATTTACATCACGCAACAAAATCAGCTCCCACGATGCTCGTGTGCTGGTAGTCGTGTTCAACTTCGACTCGTTCTCTTCATCTTTCCTCCTATTAGAGAGGGCAGCGAAACATTTCGTAGTGCATTTTATGTGTGCGAATTTTTGTGCAGGGTTTGGTAAGGTACTAGAGGAGAGTCTACCCTACGCCATGGGCGGAACTCTTGATACACAAAGGTTTCGTATTTGCCACACACCACACATGTGAGACAAAATGAGAAGATTCTTTATTCACTTCATGCTTATAAAATGTCATACATCCCTCTCTAGAGTTCAAGACATGAGAATTGTTTAGAATACGAAACCGAGACTTACACTCGACTTTTAATTCTCTATGATCTACTTTCATAACCTGACTCTTATCACTTTGAGAGCAAGCTATGTAGTCACGTAATCATATAATGACCACGATGTCTGTATCATATAATCAGAAAGAATAAGCAAACAAAAGAGTCTTTTAGTGATTCGTGAGAAATAATTAAACTCCCACATGATCCCCAAGTCGAGATCACAAAACAAATTTTTTTTTGTGTAAAACTATTTCAATTCTGCGTGGTTGCTTTTATGACAATATGAGAATGAAACAGACACAACCAGCTCAACATTGAAAATATTGTATGTTATGATCAAAGCATATAAAAAGACTGGAAACATGTATTTTTAACATACCAACATACATGACATTTGCTCAAAGCTTTTTAGAATATCTTTACAAAAAGAAAACAAAATAGAAAATGTGAATCCTTACATGAGTACATCATGTGTCAAATTAAATGATTAGCATCATCTTCTCTTCCGTGCATCATACAAAAAATGATATTGATATCACATTTATTCTTCTAAAAGTCATACGCAATTTCTGAGTGACGCTGGATTTTACAAGATTGGCAAGGAAGGAAAGAATAGATGAAGAGTTAGTATGGTAGTTTCTTGAATGATATCATCATACACATTGATTAATTTAGACTGAATAATAAAAGCGATCCAATCTTGATTCCTTTGGTATAAGAAGTATACATATGAATAAATGTTTTAAAATTCAAATTTCTTGTAATAGAATAATACTAAATTATTATTCTAGGTTATTATTCTAATGTTATTGTTTATTTTAAGAAATTAAAATATTATATCATAAACTTATGGCAAATTAAAGTGTTTTGTTGCACGTTAACGTTATCTTTCAAATATGAAATCATATTTGAAAGATATATCACATGACATTAAATCTGTTCTTACTTAACAGTTTCTTAATCAACTTCTTGCATTTTGGTAATTGTACAGTGTTCATGTAATCACTCTTGTTATTTACCATGACCCTTTTCCACACCACTCCAAATTTGTCATATCATGAGGCTATGTGGCAAGTATAATGGTAGTTGAATAATTCTTTAGGTCCATATAAATTAAATTCTTGCAGATACATATTGAGAAACAGATATAATAATAGAAATTTTCGTAAATGCATGTTGATAAATTTTTAAGAAAGTATAGTCTCATAAGCATCATTATATTTATAAGATGGTCTATGATTATTATTTTTCAATTTTGTTTCATATCATCATGTATTTTCTCAAAGGAACCACTGATATGTTGTTAGCACTTGCTAATCAAGGAGAAAAGTCTGGATCACTAATCTCAAATCCTTTGGCTTTTTATTTACAGAGCCAAAGTAGATTATATTTCATAAATATAAAAAATGTATGAAATTCAAGCTTTCGTTCCACTGAAAAAACTCAAAACTTGTTACCAAGTCGGATAAATACATTATTCGACATAATTACATTGATAACTTGAAATCTATTGCTATACACATGTTTTAGTCTATATCCTGATTCCATCTACATTTATGAAGATGATAAACACATTGCGTTATTCTTGACCACATCAGGTAAGGTCTTAAATAGTTCACTATCCAGCTTCGCTTGTTTTCTTTCGGTTTTTTGGAATAGAACTATTTATCATGATATTTATTTATGTATGCATTTACGTTTAGATTTTATTCCTGTTTCACTTTCAGACAATTTTTTTTAAAAATAAATTCATAAAAGGAATAATTTGGATATAGTAATTAAAATAGAGAATATATAAACTGTCGATGGGGATACAACGTGATCCATCAACATCAAACAAAGAAACAACATCTGTGATTTATGTTGATGGATCTTGTTTCACCTATCTGTATCTTTAATATAATATATTTATTTTGTGTTATCACCTTATATTCAACATAAATATATTTTTACAATGAAAAAGAATCCATAATCTTCATACAAATCTGAGTATTTCTATAGAAGGAGACTATTTCTTGTCAATGCATATGGCATTATCTCACATACTAAAAATAAATGTTATCTGGAGATAATGATTAAACATCTTACTAGTCGGATGGCTTGTGAAACCACATCCAACAAGATTTTCAAGTCTTTGAGTTGTAACATTATTAGACAGCTACTCTTTAGCTTTGGATTAGAATGGAGCCATGGATGTCGACTTGGATATGTTTGTGAGAAAGGGCCAAGTAGCCGACCATACTATGTGAAATGCACTATAACTTTTTGTTTTTACTTAGTAGACAAACTTTGTTAGAAAAGACATATTCATCTCTCTGTATACAGCGCTTTAATTGGTGTTAAAGAAGATGCTCATGTGATATGTAGAGCCACACAATTCATGAATGTAATGTTTATCACGACATATATCATACTGCGCTACTAGTAGACCGCGGCCACATGTTTACACTTTGGTTTCAACCATGTATGACTTAATGATGGGGCCTTCCCATCCATTTGTTATATTACTTCCTTTTTCAAAATATTCACCTTTGCAAAGTTGAGATAATTTGCACGCTGGCTCTTGAGATAAACATGGTCCAAACCTTGTAATAATGAGGAATATCTACCAAAGCCAAAGAAGAGGTAAAGCAAGATGCCACAGCAGCGTACATAATCGACAATCCTTGCACTCATTGAGGCTGATTGCACTTACTTTACTCGAGTTCGTCAAGGGTATACACTAGTGTGGGAAATCGGCTATGACTTCACTCCATGCAGAACCCGTTCAAGGTTCCTTGTTTTCCATGACAATCGGTGGACCGATATTGCATCGGACAATCAAGACTTCGTCGGTCGATTATAGAATCGTAAAATGAATAAATGTAATGATAAGTGTCCTGGTAACGGGCGAATACGAAAAAAGGATACTGGATATAGGCGGGCTCTGGCTCTGGCTCTCATGGAGGGTTACATCAGCAATTGGAGACTCGAAATGACGTAACGTAAGGAGGCGAGAGTGGTTGGATGGAATCGAGAAAGAGCTCTCCACCGATCGATCAGTCGAAGGCGGAGGAAGAGAGAGAAACACGAGTCAAAAGCACGAACGAGGAGGAAGAAGTCGAAGATCCACAAGCACACTGTTCGAACCAAATGCAGATGATCCGAGAATGAAATCTGGGCTGCGGTTGGCATGCACCTGCAGGAGTCCACCTCGCTGCACTGCCTGCGAGGAGGAGGACAGTGAACCTCATTCATTCGATCGCGTCCACCAAATCGACAGTGATGACTCTTGACTTTCGTATGAGGCTGAAGTCAGGCTGATGAGCGTACAGTCCAGGACCGACTTCGCGGCGGCCCGCAGGACAAAAGCTCGCAGCTGCGGACTGTCCGTCGCCCACACGCCACTCCGTGTTCCGTTGACGCGGCTGGAGTTCCGTTAAAAGACGCCGTCCGAGTCAACTTCCATCCGCTCCTACCTGGCGGTGGACGGAGGAAGGCTCCGTCTTGCGACCGAGCGTTTGCCAGTCGGAGGCAGATCGACCCGCATGACTTCCCGTTCGACGCACACGGAAGGACGAGGGCGGAACCCGTCCACCGATAACGAGGAGTCGATCCGACCCGCGTTACGTGGTAGGGCTTACAACAGAGTGCATTGACTCGCCCACCATGGCAGGCTAACTTCGACCTGAAGACGAACCCAACCTCGGAACCATCTAAACTCTGGTCTATGCTACTCCGGTCTACTCTACTCTACTCTATGTCGTCTAGCCCTTTTCAAGTTTGGAAGGTATGCAAGGGCACCGACAACCGGAGAGGAGGGGGATGGGGATGGGGGTGGCTTGGCTGGGGGGAGGGGCTGTGCGGTGGATGTGCATCATCCATCCATGGGGTTGGGGTTGGGGTTGGGGCAGGGGCAGGGGCAGTGCCGGCTTCTTCGTTGGGATGCAGAGGATGGGCCTGGGGCTGGGGCTGGGCCAGCTGGGTCGGGACAAAAGAAGCGCTTTCCAGCTTTAAGCCAGCAGCAGCAGCGGCGGATGAGGGGGAAGACGTCGCTGCGGCCTTTGCATGCTCTCGCAGCATGCAAACGGAAAGAATCACGATTCGTTGTGGCGGTCTGTGAGCCTTTGGCCCGTACTACGGTCCACTCGAGCGAGCCCCCACGCAACTCTATCCTCGTCTCGTCTCATGTGATCAGGACCAACTCTTCGATGGATGAATGAATGAATGAATGATGCAGCGAGAGAGAGAGAGAAGCATTTGTGGCTCTCTCTCTCTCTCTTCCTAAACCCTTCCTTGCTCGCTTCGGCTTTCATGTGCATGCCTTTGCATGTGCCGGTGATGTGAGCTGCAAGGAATCTGCCCTGCGGACTATATTTGTCTCGGAACACCACATCGAACGGAAACTGCAGAGCCCATCAAGCCGAGCATCGATCGATGGGTGGGTGTTGAATGGGACGAGATCTTTTCCGACGGGTCCCTAAATGCCTACTGGCCTGCGGTAGGTGGCATCAACCGAGTCCGTATGTCCCATGGACTCTCTGCACACGGATAAAGAAAGCATGGGATGAGATGAGATGAGATGAGATGAGATGAAATGAAATTAGATGCGCCGAGATGCTGGGCTGAAGTAGTACTCAACTCCATCTGGAGGTTGTGGAGGAGGTGGTGGTTCATGCACTGCACTCGCTGCTGCATGTTTGTATCACAAGTTACATCTTGCACTGCAGAGAGTTGTACTGTACTGTACTGATCTGTTCTGTTCTCGTTTCTAACTAATCCCGAGGAGCCAATCAATCAAGCTCGAGGCTCTGACAAAAACAATCCCATTTCTGGTCTATTCCAAGGTCGATCTATGACAAGGGCTGCCGAATAAACTTTGACCTTTTCTGTTGTAATGCTCCTGCTGAACATTGATGCAAAATCCTTTTGAACAGATTGCTGTTGTTGCTGCTGCTGTTGTTGCAGGACAATACAGAGGCCCGCTGAACAACTCTCCACCTCATTGGTGCAAAGCGCTCCTGCATCGTCGCCATATCCACCTTTGTCTTGTTCAGAGACGGCACCAAATTGGTGAAAGATCATTCGTCTGCGGAACGTGGACACCTTCGATTCACTCTCATCTTGTGGCCTCCGAGCTGCTCTCGCTACTTTCCAGAACTCCCAGTTACTGCAGCCATGTGAGCCCCGCCTCCAGCTCATTTCTATAAACCTCTCCTCTCCTCTCCTCTCCGCCATGCCACTACAAGTTAAACCAAAAAAAGAACTCCGAGCTTCTTCCCTTTTCTAGCTCCGAAGCCGCTTGCGGATACCGTACTGACTGGAGTTTGACAGCTTACAGCCTCCACTGATCTGCCTCGAAGATCCTGGCCAGGATTTTACCAGTAATCTCTAGATTTTGTCTCACTGATTGGCAAAGATGCGAGCACACTGCCGACATCCTGCCCATCCCATCGCCTCGCCTCGCCGCGAGTGGGTACGAAAGAAGCCCCGTCAAGTATTCGCTTGGACACATGGACCGGTCCAACTCATCAGCGACTCACTGCGAGAGTTGCAACATGGCCTCGAATGAGTCGACAGACAGACAAGAACGGCGAAAGCTCCAATAATAATCAATCCGCAGATAATTCAATGTACGGAAATCCAAATCAATCCGCAGATTTTTCCCAAGCTTTTTCCAAAGCAAGCGAAGAACCATTTGGCACCGTTGACTCAGCGCTCGTAGGATCGATGGATCGATCGATCGGTAGCCCGGCCTCCGGATTGCATCCACTCCGATCCTTGCTTGATTCCGTGAAGTCAAAGGGAAATGCTTCAATTTCGTTATCCGAGTCTCCACCTCGCAGGAATCGAAGGGAAATAGCCCCCCCACCACCCGAGCTTTACTTCCCGAAGAATACTTGTACACATTGCGAAGCAAGAAACAAAAGAATGGGAAGAACGTGCTGCGGTCGCTCACTGATTTAGTTGTGCCTTATCACTTGGTGGACTTTATCTATCGGCTGCTCTTGCATTGCACCAAAGCCCGACGCTCGAATCATAAGCCAGCAAGTTTGCTGTGACGTTCTTGTTGTGACATGCGAGCCGAGCTTTAGGGTTATCAACAAAATTGGCTTTAGTGCTTTGGAAACTTCAGAAATCACCGAGCTCGCTCGCTCGCTCGCTCGCTCGCTCACCAGCCCATGAACAATGAACAGCCCGCAGACACTTGGACTTTGGACATAATTAAACGCGGCAAGATGAATGGTGCCGGTACCTTGTTCACCCTCCATCCTTCTTCTTTTTGGTTTTTCTTCAATTTTCTCTCTGTATTTTTAATCTCCTACCGCGTAGAAAACCGAAAATTCCTCCTCCACTTTCAGCAGCAACAGCGGAGGTGTATGCATTGAATTGAGTTGAATTGAATTGAAATGAATTGAATCAGGTTCAACTTTGCTTGACTAGTGCTCCAAAAAATTGATTGATTGATCGAGATTATTCGCCTCGCCATGCAGAGAGCTTCAGACGATCGTACTTTGAACTCATGATTCGAATACTGTACCGCAAAGGATTCACACCCTCGATCATGCTACTCGACGTACAGTACAGTACATGAGAAGGCCTGTGCCGCCGACCCATCCGCCCATCCAGCCAGCAATGCGCTAATGACACGCACCTCGTAAGCCATCTCTGCCCTCGACCATAGCCATAGCCATAGCCAAAGACGTGCTTTATCTGCTTCTCTCTCTCATTTTGCCCGTCGCTCGAGCGAACCTTTATTGTCAGCCCGTGAAAGCCCAGATCTGCGACCATCTAAACTGGGACCAGATATAATTTCCTCGGTGCGATTTCCCACCGAATCCTTATCTTAGTTAGCCTGCCTCGATTCAGATCGTCGAGATCCAAGTGGCACTCCTTTTGCTTTTCCTCTACGCAGTTACTATTTGATTTTTGCTCGAGGGAGGATCTTCTGGTGGTGTGAATCCTGGAGTCGATGAAGTTGCAATTTTTTCCCATCGATTCAAGCTCTTGCAAGGAATCAATGACTCTAGAAGACGAACATGTTGGCCTTGCATGGGAGAAGAGATCGCCAGAACGTGTTACTTTTCTTACCACCCATAAACAAATCAGATCACCATCTTAACATTGACCTGTGCTCATGCTCGCACGTTCCGTTTCCCATGGAAACAATTCGGCAGACGAGTGACCGAACAATGGAGAAAAGGTACTCGGTTTCCTGTTCCATTCAATTATCTAATATTCGATTTGGGAAGATGTTCCATTCATTCTCTTCTCGAGAAATAAATAAGAAAATATGTTGGTTTGGGAGTTAATAGGGTGAAAGATATTCGCAAGGATCAAGGGGAAAACTAAATTCACAATGCCTTATTTGTGGAGAGAAGCTCGAATTTCTTTTTTTTGTCTACGATATCAGTGAAGCATCAAGAGACCATGTGTCTAAACGTCCTGAACTACTGCACTACTACGATTGGCCTATTTCTTTTGATTGGCTTAATATTAAAACCTCACATTTTCGATCAGGTTCCAGATATAGTGAGGACTTGCGCCATATGGCAGACAGAGATGTTGGAACCCTGCTCCGGAATTTGGACGTCAAGACAACGATGGTGTAAATTTAGTCAGATATAAATAAATAAATAAAGAAATTTATGTATATAATATGAATGGAAAATCGTGTGACTCGATGTGGATCATATTCTCTCAAGCTCGCTCTTCAAGTGCAAGTTCATAAAGTTTTGACTCGGCATAGCGAATTGCATCGACATCAAGTGCAACGTGAGAGGAGACATGGAGATCCGATAATTCAATAATTCACATTATTACGCCATTGGGTCACAAGGGAATCCACTTTATTGATGGAGTGGTAAACTCGGAACTAATCGTACATTTCACTTGGACGGATTTCTAGTGACTTGAGCCATAGCTAGAATCAAGTCTGAGCATGTGGACTTTACTACAACTCGAATCTGACCGGATGGCCATGGATGTTTTTCAGTCCACACTCGAACGAAGGTCCTTACTTGATCATGAGTGATTGAGTTTGACCACTTTGTACTTTCTTTCTGTCCTTGGACTGGACTCGACTGCTGAAAACTGCAGAATGCCAAAAGCTGACCCCAGACTACAACTTCACTTCACTTCACTTCACTTCATTCACAAGTGCAACACAAGGAAGAGATATTTTTCCGTTTCTTTTGTTTCCTTCTTTTCGGGTCTCGCAGAAATCATTACTCGTACACGACGTAGATTTATTTGTCTTCTGCATTCGGAGTTGATGCAATCAAACATTAAAAAACTTCCCAAAAGGCACTCGGAGGGAGGTCGCAGGGCCTGCCTTTGAATCAGAGTAACTACTCGTCGTCATAAAGCTTTTTCCAAAGCTCCACCAATACTTGACTCGTTAAAGTGGAAGCAGAGAGTCCTTCGAGAAGTAGATTTGAGCCGAAGTCTGTCGTAGACAAACATCAAAAGTATATCATACATCAACGGGACCAGAAGGGAAAGAGAAAGAGAAAAAAGAAAAGGGCCGCGGATTTGTTGCCGAAATGAAATCTCGATATGAAAGGTATAGAATAGCCACTCGAAGGAGCGAGAAAGGCGCTTGCCTCTTGCAACCAGTGAGATCGTGGGGTAGTGAAACATGAAAGAAATAAGGTTAGAAAATAGACGAAGACCGAGAGGTGTATGTGACTTACAGCATCATGACAGGAAAGCAAAGCAAAGCACAATAGAGGCTAAATGGCGTTCGATTATGCGGGGCCTTGAAAAGCAGGCACGAATCATTCTGCTTCTTTCAGTCAGTCAGTCAAGTCAAGTCAGTCTACGCTGCGCAAAGACGAAGACGAAGACCGACGAGTGTCATCAAAGGAGGCGAGGCATGGGAAAGGATGGGAAAAATCCAGGTCTAAAAAAGAGGCCCGAGAAGTGGCACATCCTCCAAATGAAGTTACTCACGAAAGGATGGGCGAAGATATTTTGGAAAAAAAGGGGAAATACTGAACAGAAACGGAAATTGTTTGGGAGTTTGTCCAGCTTTTCTGAGGGGCGAGGAGGAGGACCCACGGGGACTAAAAACAGAGTCAAAAGCAGAGAAAAGCCAAAAGACGAGATCAAGTACATCGTTCTTATCCTACACATGGAGTCCGAAGATAAACAAGCCTGGGAAGATCTGTGAGCGAGTGATTGATTCCGGGGCTAGACGAAGAAGCATAGCTGGAATGGAATCAGAAGGAGAGTTAAGAGAGAGAGAGAGAGAGAGAGGGGGGAGAGATTGATTGACTATAGACAGCATGTGACTAGTAGAGAACCTGCCCAGGGACTTTGGAGGCATCATGTCATGCATGTTGGTGTTGGTTCGGAGACATTCCCTTTTGTCATGATTGCACCACTTTGGGAAAGCAGAACAATTGATTTCGGTTCCATGCACTGTGAGTGGATTGTTTGTAGCTGCTGCAGTTCAGTTGCAGCAAAAGGAGGAGAAAGATCTTATCATGAATGAGGAGGAGGAGGAGGAGGAGGAGTATGTTGAGGAGGCGGTGAGGTTTAGGTGGCTTGCCACTTTCTCGAAAGACAGAACAAATCAAAGGGATAGATGCTTGTCTCGTTGCTTCATCTCAAACGTGTCGGGCTTCCGTCTCGGATCGGTGGTGGTGGACGAGGGGGCCATCGACTCGCATCGAGCCCTCCATTTCTCTCCATTCCTCCCTCCCATCGATCGCTCCATGCTGACTGAGACCAGACGACGATCTCGCCGAATGCTCCCGCAGGACGAAAGCCTATAATAATAATAATGCGGGCCGGCGTCGACTGCTCTCGGAAAGTTCTCGGCGAGACGTGTTGGAATATATGGGGCTCCGGGTGCGGTGAGGTCAGGTCAGGTGCGTCGCATTATCCTCCTCCGAGCTCTGTCCTAAGACACGGCCGAGACGAAGTCTGTCTGTCTGTCTGGCTGTCTGTCCTGCTGCTGCAGGGCCCCTAGAGGTCCGCGTGAAGCTTGCATATTCCCTTCCCCTTCGATCCTCGAGTTCGTTCGTTCCTTCGTTCGTGCCATTTGACCTTTTCCTTTCCCCCTTCCCCGTCTCGCAGTCCCAGTCCCAGTCCCAGCCCCAGCCCCAGCCCGCGGAGCGGTTGACATCTTCCGGGCGGCACCGCAACGCCCATGCTACGAAGACGAGACGAGGCGAGGCGGGGGGCTACGGAGGCCGCGGCCCCGTTATCGTTGGGGCGCTTGCTTGCTTCAAATTTAGGCACCTGTTGTCCAACAGTCGCTTCTGGAGGCCCACTCGCAGGGCTTGCTTTCTCGCCCTTCTTTCGGAGGATTGCCGCTCCTGCTGCTGCCCCAGCCCCAGCCCCAGCCCCTGCTCACTTTTGTCCCATGGGCTCGCAACAAACGAACTCCGTTCATGCTCATCCACTTTTTCATTTATGAGTTCTCGCTGTATTATCGCATTGGACGGACCAATGAAGTCATGACTACCCATTCATTGGATCCCGACTTTCCTACCATCCCTCCGTTGAGGATTACATGCTTTTCCGAATGCCTCCATGTCCCACACGAACTAAATGCGAAGTACGAATGAATCAAACCAGTTTTTTCCTTACCTTAGTTATAAAGTTATGGGAAAACTCCCCTTCACATTTGTTTCAAAAATAATAATTCTTTGGCTATAAAGCATCAAAGAGGTTTGATGATTATAGTAAAATTTAAGAGACATTAGATGTGTATTGTCAATCTCAAGATATTATATTTATTAGTTAACCATAACGGGTTAAATGATATATCATTAATCTTTGTTCAATGATCAGAATGAAATTAGAAGTATAATATTGTATAAAAATTTCAGTTTTTACCGGTTTTTTATGCCTTTTAAAAAAATATATATATATGAATTTAAAGAAGCAACTTACATGTGATGATACCAATTGCATCATCTAAATTATATGGATGCTAGAATTTTTTAAATGTCTTAGATAAAATGGCAATGAATGTATGGAGTTTTCAATCACGTTCAGTGAACTTCACATCTATGTACAGTGATAAAAAGATTTAATGAAGGATTTTTTTTTTTCATAATATTTGGAATAAATCCTCAGTATGATATGATTCTAAAATAGGTTGATGTAATATTCACAATTATATATTTCATATTTGAAAAAAAGATATCAGAGCGATAAGACATATTTCTGAGACATAACTACATCCCACGGATTTAATCATCCATTCATTTCAGATGTGGTATCTCCGGGAAAACATTAATGAAAATTACACAATTAAAACTCTGTCTTAAATGACTTACACTGCGATAGACGTAAAAATCACTTTAGTGGCAAAAGCGAAACAAAACCACGCCAGCCCGTTGTCTGTCGACATTGAATCAAAAGCAGTGGGTCAGAATCAAAAGACAAGCTGGAACTGTTAATCACACGATCGATCGATCGTCAAATCCGTGCCAAATTTCCAAGCATGTCCTATAATGGGAAACCTACAACGCTTGGCCTCAGAGATAGATTGCAGCAAAATTAAGATAATGTGGCTCATTTTAATTAAGTAGGCTGGGTAATCATTCAATTACAAGTCTACCAGCTTAAGATATCGCCTGACGGAAGGAGGAGGAGGGAGGGAGGGAGACACGTCATCGGCCTTGCCAGCGTGGCAAAGGAGGGGGGATTGAAGGACCGTTGAGCGACAATCTGCAAGGGAAATCTCGTCCCGTGACCGATTCCGCGTCGAAGCGAAGTTGTAGATTTGGCTCCTCATTCTCTCTCTCTCTCTCTCTCGTGGTCTAAGAGGGCTTCGGGCTCATTCATGAGCCCGAGCGACATCGGATCGGGCGAATCCGGGACGGGGCGGAGTAGACATGCGAGTCGATCTGCATGAATTTATCTTCACACCCATCTTTTCGAAGGAAGGAAAGACTTGAGCGCCTTCATGAGGTTCATTCGTCCATGTTCCGGACAGGCGGTAGCTGTGGGAAGAATCTGAGGCGAATGATGACGATGTAAAGGACAGCTCCATGTTAAGATTTGAAAACTGATGGACTTGTGATCATGACGGAAACAAGGAGGAGGAGGAGGAGGAGGAGCAGGTAATATAGCAAAAAGGATGGGAAGAAGAAGGAACCCCATCCATGGAGCCATCGAGCCGTACGAGGATGAAACTGAGGGCGTAGGACAGGCACAGCATCCGTAGAGCTGAGGCGATGTTTTGAAGACGTCTTTAATTTCTTGTCATTTTCCATCGTGTAGCCGCGTGGTGGGCCTGGCCCATCTTATCTTGCCTTTCGAAGCCCGTCTAATCAATCCCTAGAAAAGAAAAGACGCGAGAATGAAATCCGTCTAAAAAAGATGTGCGGCTTAAACTCCTCCCCTTCCCTTCCCTCCCCTCCCCTTCCCTTCTTTCACATGTCCTCCGTTCTCGTGCGAAGCGCAACTGTTTGCTCCGAGTCAGCGGTAAAGATCGCGGGCAATCGAAGCCTCCGATTGGCCCCAGATGGCTGCTAGAGGCTAGAGGCTAGAGGCTAGAGGCTTGATTGATGCTCGTCGCAACGAGATGGGGTCGTCCACCAGCACCAGCACCAGCACCATTACAGCATCGGTGAATCAACAACGGTCTATGAATCAGAACAGAGCACATTGTCAAAGAGCCCAAAAGAATGCATTGCCGGATATTCTCGACACCTTTCTGCTGCAGCATTAAAAGAGTGCGAGAATCTCAAAATTTTCTGTTTACTTTCCTGTGCACATCGCACTCGAATGATGATGAGGTCGCAGTAGATATGTCTGGAACTTCCATGGCGTGCGTCGGTCAAAAGGTGAAATCCAAGCAAGACAAAGGTGAAGAAGGACTCACTCGCTCCCTCGCTCCCTCCCAAAGTAGTGCAAGGGCTCAATCATCTCTCATCTCATCTCGGATCAAATCAGTGAAATATCTTATTCCGCTTTTTGTTTTGTTTGTGTCCAGTAAGCAAGTGCCAAGGAGATGTAAAAGCTCGTAGACCCTGCTAGAGCATTCCGAGCTTGACCACATCCATTCAACTGCAACTGCAATGGAATATGAATATGAGGAGTGAAGTCCAAGTCGAACATATCCGCACCTTTTTCTGCGTCCAAGTACTAGTCAGGAGAATGTGGGTGGGAAGGTGGTAGCGTGTTGCGAGAATTCAATCGTCTTGTAGGACGGGGGGAAATGACCGCCAGCAGACGTTATCTAGTCTTTTAGTTATACAGAAAAAATGGAGGCACAGTGTACCACGCCCCACGATAGCCGTGCGGGGTCTGGTGATAGGTCGGAACAGTTTGCGAGCTGATAAGTAGGCAACATTGTTTCCTTTTGAATCTGCTTTTATAAGAGGATAAACACACCTGGGTGTTCATCATCGGCTTTGACTGATGTCTATTATTGGCTGCAGATTGTTGCCATACTCAAGCTCCGGAAAGAATCATATCTTCAATTCTGTTTCTTTACATTGTTGTTGTCCTGGAAATGAATTCCCTCATAGATTGACAAATCGTACCGATGGCTCACTCTTCGCTCCCATCTGTTTATGTGGCTGGTCAAGTTTACTTCTCTCCACTTGTCATCAACCTCTGGTATGATTTCAACGACGACAGCATCATGAATCAAAAGTCTTCATGACGCCCCAATGTTCTCTCTCACTTCACTTCCTCTCGGTCTCTCTTGGATTCTGTTGTGAAGCAAGGTTTCTTCTCCAAAATAGTCGAGAAACAAGTTGGTGTCACTTCCACACAAAAAGGAAACCGAGAAGAGTCTCGAGTCTCGACGAATCCTAGACGGCTATGGACTTCGGAGTCCGTGCCTGCCTAGGAAACATGGTGAAGTAAGGCAAGTACCGAACTACAGAAAAGTCATAATTATTACTCTATAGAAACAAACTGTAGTACCGACAAGGCACTCAGGCTCAGGCTCAGGCTGCAACTGTACCAAGAATCACTCGAGTTGCAAATAGTCAAGAACTGATTACAATTAAGATTGCGCAGTGGGGTAGAGAAGTTAATTTTCAAAATAGTGGACCTGAAAATCTCTGGATTTTCTTCCTTCTCGATGAGTACTTCCAAGTTTTATTCAATTGGAGAAGAACGCATGTGAACAGATATGTTTTGTTTCTGTGGTGACAGTTGGTGGCAGTACGAGAGGAAGTAATGCATGGGGACGACATGCCATATGTCACCGTCTAAACCTACATTCGAATACCTTACCCCTCAAGTTAAGCGTGAATCTCTAAAAAATAAACATTCCAAAATTGCTGAAACTGTTGGACGGTGGCTAAGCGATCGGAACCTATGGTCGGATTCTCTGTTATGCGTAGACATTAAGAGAAGAAATAGCTTGTTCCATAGTCGAAAATGGTATTTTAAACTTTCAACAACGACCTTTGTACCGACAACGTCAATCTAGACTGTGTATTCCGATTTGTACTGCTAACAAGTTTGACAGTGTCTAGACAGATGCCAGTGATAAGCCAAGGCAACACTCCCTCCGCTCCGGCAGAATAATCGCATGGGTCAAGGGCTTTCGAGATAAGATACTCCCTCACTTCATGAATATTTTACTGTTTACAAACTATTGCCTTTTCGAGATGTACTTGATTAATCGGCAAGTAACTTAGTCAATGGTATATTCACTTTTATTCATATGATCAAAGACTGGGGTCTTCGAAACCGTCCCCCAATAGCTTCTAAGGAACATCTCACACGAGAAATGTACTCTTTCAATAATTAGAACAGTCTACGTTTTGGTGTGAGATCTTGCATGTGCCTGCAGGAAAAAGAATGCCGTGTATGGATACATTCTTCTAGGGTTTGATCTTCATCACGGGACGGAGAAAGATTCATAGCAACTACCCAGAGGACAGGTACATGTATACAGATGCAGTTTTATATTGACAATCAAGAAGAAATGAAAATAATAAAGGAGAGCTACAGCAAGCAATGAAATGGGTTGACTCACGCTTGAATATTGTTAGGCGGCATCCTATAATGCTGGAATTGTTTACGGCACTTTCACTCAAGAGGATGCGGAGAAAAGCAAGAGGTTGAGTGCATGGGCTCATTTCTACGGCCTCAAAGGTGCTGCGGAGATGTATGGAATGCAGCAGCAGCAGCAGCCGTTTTCGAGGTGTCACGTTACACTTGCAAATACTAAACAATTGACGGAAGAAATGATGTGACTGAGCAATCAAGCTTCTACCACTGCTTCATCTACAACTACAGGCCACGTACATGAGTGCAATGATCTCGAAGGAAAACGAACCAAGCAAATCGGAGTGGGTGTGGAAACGGCATACGCGACCCCACACGACGGAATAAACAAAGACCGAATGAGAACTGCGACCCCACCCACCACCAGCTGACAAGAACGGCCATTCGCTCGCGCACTCATTCACGAGAAACTGCGAGGAAAGTCGCGGGCCCGGTCTCGATCTTGGGCCTGCGCTCGACGGCCGCGACGACCACCGGTCAAGCGCATCACGGACTCCGGCCCCCGGCGTCAGGAGTCAGACCACGGGGAAGGCGGAAGGAAGGAAGCCAAGGCAGGCGGCAGCAGGAGGGGCTGGGGCTGGGGCTGGGGCAAGGAAGGGACTCCGAGGGGGGTGGGGGCTCTCGACTGAGCGTCTGACATTCACTCGGCACTGTCGATCCATCGGTCGCTTGCAAAGCGCGTCGTGGCGGGGACGTCCCACCCGTACGATTCCTCGCTTCGAGAATCTTCTCGCTCGTTCGAAAGTCTCACTCATCGGTCGCGATCCCCGAGTCCAGCCTGGACTACGCTGTCAGCAGTCGGGCACCGGTGCCGGTAGTTAAAGCCACGCAACACTCGACATTCCGTCCGTCCGTCCGTCTCGCCGGCGGACGGACCACGCACCGAAGAACCGCCGACGACGACAACGGAAAGGTAAGCAGGTACGACCGGATCCGAAGGCCGTCACTCATTGGTCGGGACCCGCGACCCCGTGCAGGATGTGGCCGTCCGTCCGTCCCACCGAACGCGACCATCAGCGGCCCGTCTCGTTCGATAAGGACGTCGCGAATGGCGGTGCGGTCACTCGCCATCTCGGGAACCGGCGTCGCGAAAAGACCAGTCCTAGCCACCTCATTGGCGTACGTCCGATCGGCATCTCGCAGACGGACTGACTCATCGATGCGCCTGTTGACTTGGCCTTGTCAGATCGTCGCCCCCGCTACATCGGACGGCGGCAGGCGATCGGATAACGAGTTGTCCACCTCGGCCGAGGGGCAGGTGGGCACATGAACTCTCCGCCCATCTGAACGGTCAATAAGTGATCGGACAGCGGCCGAGCCTTGTCAAGGGAATGATTCGTCGAACATAATTGCCGTCCTGTAGCCGGTCGCTGGGACAGGGAACCGGCGCGAGGCGTCAGATGCCGACGAGATCGTGTCCATGGCCCTCAGAAGTAAGAGTACGATCGCGTCGGTCTCCGGTCACATCGTAGCTCATGGCGGGAACCGTCAGACCGGCGTGACCCAACACCGTGTCCAGAAGACGGCTGGCAATGAATTCGGTGCCGGTAATCGCCTCTAGGACATTCCGGTTTTCGGGCTCGATACTGCGTCGAATACGAAAGCGATCGCGAGGCAAAGAAATCGCGAGGGCGGATGACAGCTGTTCGATCTGACATCGGGAACGGACAAAGATATCTCCGGTGTTCGTACCGCAGGGGCAGTCTCACTACGGTGATGTACTATACCGTATCGGATCGAGATTGGGCGGCTGGGGGCCGTTGGATGGGTCGTTCGGACGGACGATTTGGGTTCTGTTATAGTACCTGAATGGGCAACACTCGCCACTACGGGAGCGTACAGTACTGGGCCATTAATACCGGTCTCGTTATGGATGGGACCGCGAAGTTCTTGGTTCATTGATGGCATGGGCGGGGTGGGGCTTGGCATGGCATGGCATGGCCTGGTGAGTGACTGACAGACAGCGTGAGCAGCTGCGGCGTGCGAGCCGGACAGGCACGGCAGGGGCTGGGGCAGGGGCAAGGGCAGGTGCGATGTGGTTGAGGGTGCGAGGTGACCGTCGAGGTTTCACGGTTCGAGAAGCCTGCGGATTGGCGGAAACTGTCACAAAAGCGGGAGAGGTTCGCGTTTCTTTGATTTCTTTCCTTCTTTCTTTCTTTCTTCTTTACTCGCATGCATTAAATGAATGAGGAACTCGGTGCTGACTCCTTCGGGGCACGGGACGGCGATGGGAGGGGCTAGTGACGGACCGGTGTCGAGACGAGGTGGTGTTCGGTAGGCTTCGGCGTTATTAGAAGTGGGAGGGTGACGGGTGGATGGACGGATGGAGGACGACAGAGGATGCCGGGGCCTGAGAGAGCTGGTCGCCTGTACGCACTGCTAACCACGGTGGCGGTCTGGCCGGGGCCTCCGGTGGCGAGGGGGGTTGGGACTGGAAGACAGTGTCGGATAAGATGGGATCTATGCGGCTCGAGGGGAGCGGAGGGGGATGCGACGGGGGCAAATCAGGGGCAAATCGGGGGATGAATCCCGCCAAGCGCAGCTGGGGGATGTCGCTGCCCGCTGTACTGCGTACAACATGATCCCTGTCGACGTCGTAGCGGGAGCCCCCCTACCGTATAATGACGGGATTCTGACAAGCACGACGCACAAGAGTTGCGATTCTCCGCGGACCGCTCGAGCCGTTACGCCTTCGAGATACCACCAGGGGGAAGCAAGCAAGGGGGCAGTAACTCTCTCTCCCTCTCGGCCCCCTGGGCATTGCATTCGTCTCATGTGACACAAATGGTCGAGGAGCCTATCGCGGTCGCCAAGCTGGAGGAGTCCTGCGAAGCGAGAAAGAGTAAAGAATGGCGGTCACGTTGTCAATGCTTCGCAGCGAGGGCAGAGGGCGAGCCCCAGTCGTATCCCCGGCGCAAGCCGACAAGCAGAAAACTCGGATGGCACGCCAGTGGCCGCTGTGAGTCGTGCTCTAGTGTAGTGTAGCGAGGAAGGGAACATACTCCTGAGTCAAATTAGTCTCTATTGCATTGTCAGGCACTGGATCGCTGCATGCCCTGCCCTTTGCTTGCTCTCGAGTCAAAAGCCTGCCCCTGGTCTCGTCTCTGGTCTGTGGGCTGGTTTCATCATCTTCTCCTCCTTCTTCTATGCATCCCCTTATCATCAGCCAAACCCCAGACCTGCTCCATATCTGGTTGCCAGATCCAGCTCCATCGAAGCTGGACGCAGTTCTCTCTAGTCCAGTATAGCACTGGTGGTAGCTACACCGTAATAATCAAACCCACCCCATCATCCCCAGCTCTGGATGGTAAGCGTGACACCGGTGAAAAATCTCTCTCAGCCTCCCCCTACCCCCTACTACCGCGGCACTTGCACGGGATCGAATCAGATCCTATCACGTTGGCGTGGATCAATTTTACTCCCAGGACAAAGATGACTTTCCTCGAGCCAGCAGGTAATCTGCCGCCTCAAGCTTATCAGACGATCCAGCACAGCGCTCGCATTACCAGAGTATCCACGCACTGCTGATCCGAGCCGAAATAGGATCCACGCTCTCGGACATACCAACCGGGGACAGTCAACCCCACCACCATCCCTCCCCCCTCCGCCGTACCAACAGCGGCAGCAGCAGCAGCAGCGCCAGCCAGCCAGCCCTCCTCCAGAATAATCCTCACGAAGTCCACACGAATCTCAACACCACCCCATCCATCCTCTCTCTCTCTCTCTGTGAATCCTTCCGCTCTAGCTTTGCATTATTCCTTCCTCTCGAACCGAGCAAGGGAATGCTCCGATTCCACACCGTGCCTAGACATTTGCATATTTCCGAAGGCTCCACGATGCGTTGCTGCCATTAGTGAGCCTCGGATCGAGCTTGCGACCCAGCTTTTATTTTAAGCTTTTTCCTCCCGACCCGAGAGCAATAATTCCAAAACCCGTCGGATGTCGACGCGATCTCCACTCCTCTTCTTCACTCTCGGCAAAAGATGCCGCATCTCAGATGCAAGCTCCAGATCCCAGTTGGTCAACTTCCTTAGCTCGCGCTCAATAGGCCGAGACTCGGGTTTTTGCATATTTCCCCTCCCTCCCCTTGGCCAAAAACAATTCCCAGCCTGCCTGCCTGCACAGTGTCCGTGAAGCAGCGAAGAATGTACATGCGACCTCGGGTCCAAATTTGTGCCTTTTACTATGCCCCCTGTTCTCACTCACTCTGCTTTTCGATCACTGTTACAACTTTTGGATCGAGGACCCCCCACGCTGCTCGTCAGTGACGACGAATCTGGTCGTAGCATATCATAGCCCAGGCAGGCAGGCAGGCAGTCACGGTCGACGTAAACATACCTTTCGTTTCGCCCTACTGTGGAAATTATTTGGAGGACACTAACACACATCCACGATCAGAACTATCCGGTTCGCTTAGGAAAAATCAACCGTCTCGCAGATTTCTCCTGCACTCATGCCCCGATCGCCCCAACTATGCTGCGATGTGACGTGATCACCAAACACATGAGCGAGCCAAGTAGCTGAGTGTCGTCAGTTCGAGAATCCATACCCACCCCATACACCTGTAACAACTACGAAATTTCGCAGAAGAAAGAAACAGTTCAAACGAACAGCCAAATCAGTGGTGACATTTGAGTATGAGAAACATGCTCAGAATCTGCTGAAAACGCTGTGCTGCTATCTGAGCGCACGTCTGCCAGTCTCTAATTTGTTCCACAGCAAACATTTTGGGCGAAAAACTCGTCGAGGCTTAAAGTGGCTTTCGATGAAGAGTGTGGATATTTCCTCCATCACATTCAACGAGAATTTGAAATTGACGTTTATAAACATGCAGAGCACGACATTGTCAAAATACGATAACCGGAGGAAGACCAACACCCATTTCACACAGGGTTCATAATTGCGCTCGAGAAATTGCCATTCAAAGTAAGCAGAGAAGGAGTGCTCTGAGATAAGCAGCGATTGCTATTCCTCATTGAAATTCTATGACCAATGTCGTGTACACTTTGTTGATATCAAAAGGGGGTTCAATGTGACCCCTGTGACTTTTGAGGACCTTTACAGAATTCACAGCTATCTAACTATTCAAAATTTGGATCCACCCTATACTGAAATTTACAAGCCCACCAGGCCTACGCCGTGAATTCCATTTTCCTACAGAGCTATGCCGGCCTCCACGAGAGGCAAAACCGTCGAGTATGCAGATTGGCCGTCCATGATCATGAAGTCCAAGCTTCCCATCATCCAGTCGTCAATGCCAGTGTCGTAGCCCATGTTATCACCTCCGCCTTCGAGCGCCCAGCTGACGGCGTCCTGGAGATTTCCACTGGTATCGACGTCCGTGCCTTTGACAGAAATTTCGGCCGAGCTCTCGGACGCGAGAGTTTCTTGCTCGAGCTCGGACGATTGGTCCTTCTCAGAGGTTGGGCTGGGAGGAATGCCGAGCTCGTCGTCAGAGGCCTCGAGCAGGAACCCAATGTCGACCGGATTGTATTTCTCGTTCTTCTGCTGTGAGGTGGAGGAGGTCCTAGCACTAGTGTCGCAATTGTCACCTTCGATCAAGACCGACGAATTTTCACTGGACAGACAGTCCGACAGTCCTGGATTGCTTTCGCTCGAACATCCAACCTCGCCGGAGCGAATCACATCATTCACGTCATCATTCACACCGGCGAGTCCGTCGTCTGTGCTCCATATGACGTCGCCCCAGCCTGCGACCAAGCCAGTGCCCGAGAGCTCGTCGATGGAGGCGGCGGGCATCAAGAAATCAGTCTGATCCCCGGACACTCCAAGCTCTTCCTCCAGGCTTCTCAGAGTTTCTGCCATGTACGCTAGTTTACTGTCTGTAACATCCTCATCCGCGGCCATCATGGCCTTCGAGGAGAGGTCGCCAGTGGATGAGAGGCAGGGATGTTCATGATCCTCCGAGTCCGAGGCCGGTGCGAGAGGGCAGTTCTCGCCCACCGAGTCCAATTTCTCGCAAGGTTTCTTTCCCTGGGGAGCATAATCCTCTACGAGCGCTTCCAATGCCTCGTCTCTGGATCGCTTCTGGCCAACAACAGACTCCATTTCCTCAAGTCCCTCAACTCTGCTGCCTGCACTACTACGTCCCTGAACCCGCAGAAAATCCCGAGGCCACTTGTCACCGAGCTTGGAACAATTCAAAATTTCGAGCCAAGACCGATCGCATTCACGGGTTTTCAGTCCAAGCACTCAATTGTTCTTTACGGGAAATTTGAACCGGCGCGCGAGGGCTGCGCACGATTTGACACCCAGCGAGCACGATACGAGTCCGAGTGCACACTTGGCCGAGGACCGGAGGTGCAGCAGCGGGGACAGTATGCAGATGCTCAGACAGGGAGGGCGAGAGAGCTGTGGCGATGGAGGGAGGGTGCGAGCGGGCGAGCGAGGCTCTGGGAGATGGAAGGAAGGATGCCCGAGTTGCTGTTGGGACTTGGAACTCCGAATCAGAAGTGGCAGTGGTAGATGTAGTGCAGTGAGAGACCGAATTCGGCTTGTGCAGATTTGAATATTGGAAAAGGAATTGCTGGATGTATAGATAGAGAGAGAGAGTGCGTGAGAGAGATATGGGAGACGAGGGTGCGCAAGAGACAGAAGACAAGTAGTTTGAGATGAGGGGAAAAGAGCGCATATATATAGACGAGCGGGGGCAGGGGGGAGGGGGAGTGGGGGGGGGCAGAAGAAGGGAAGCAATGCGCGACGGGTGCAACTCACCGGACGGCGGCTCGCTGCAGCGGTTACGGCACTTGGCGGGGCGCGCCTTACCGTCCAACCGTTGGAGGGGTTGGGGCGGGGGGGGGAGAGAGAGACGGTGAGCAGTGTGCGGGGGCAGGGAAGGGAAGGGGCTGGCATGGGCCTGTTGCTGCTTGCTGCTGCTTGCCGATTGCCGGTTCCTGGTAGGGAGCGCCCTATCGGCGGGGGCGGGGGCAGGACCGGGGCGGTCAGGATGGGGTTCGGAGTCAGAGGTGGGCTAATTCCTGTCAGTTACGCAAGGTTCATCTTTCTGTTATCTTTCCGCTTCGTTTCGCGACAGCCCTCCGATAGCCTGGACTGTCGTGGACTCTTTCATCTTTCCCGGTAACGCGGCCGGTGGCGTAAAGCAGTTACACCACGGCTGTTGGGCTGCCCCCTGCCCGGGCCTGCCCTTCCCTTGCCTTGCCTGCCCGCCCATCACGACTTCGCTCCCCCCACCCCTCACGCGCTTCCTGTTCCCGACCGCTGTCCCTCACCGGCGCCTGGTGAAATCTTCCGTCACGCGCCTCTTCTCTTCCCTTCGCCCTTCGCTTCGCTTCTTCCCCTTCCCCCCCCCCCCCCCCCCCCGCGCGCAGTAAACAGGAACAGCATGGGCCCTGTCGGGGCCAGTTCTTTAGGCGCCGGAAAGAGCAGCAACATATTCAAACACTAGCCCCGGTGCCAGTCTCGAGCTGCTGCTGCTGCTGCTCCGCCTTGTACGCCTACAAAGAGCAATTATTTTAATCAGAGCGGAGTGAAAATGGCAAGCACCTGCCAATCAACGACCGGGCCATAAAGAGAATAAGGAAAACCCTTTCAAATGGGGCAAAAAAGCCTGCCCCCCTGGCCCGTAACCCCTGCCCCCCTGCCCGACAACAATGAATGGCGAAAGCAAGCCGAGAAATCTGATACCCTAGTCTAGTGGCGTAGGTAGGCAGACGATTTCTTAATGAGTCCAATCAAGGCGCGCCTTGCGCTTGGGCTTGGGCTTGGGCTTGCGATTCCGGCAGCGCATGTTGGTTTCCCGGTGCTTGCCTCGCATGATAGAACCGATGTGACATGCATGCATGTTCTATGATGAGGTGGTCCGATCGGCCTCATCAGAGCCGGGAAGGGGCGATAATGAACAAGATGCGCCCCAGACCGGCCGACGTGGACCGGAGGGCCACCAGGCCCCGAGCATCCGGGCCTCGGACGGGACGGGGCCGGGCACGGACCGAACCGCGCGACACGGAAGCGAAGCGAAACAGTGACGGGCCCGTCCATAATGCGAACTCGAGAAGCGAGCGACCCGACCCGGGCCAGAGACGGCCGCGACAAGTGTAATAATAAAAGGTGGCGTATCCATAGACCACGTGGTCGAGTGTGGCCAGCGGGCATGGGCTTATTGCGACCAGCAGCTTTTCTTCCCCCCTCCCCTTTAACGAGGAAATCCCGCCCAATCTGCCCACTGCCCCACTTCCTTATTTTAGGTCCACTACTATCCCCACAGAAACGTTCCCTACAGCTGGGGACTCCATCCTGGCCGATTTCGGTTGCATGACGTTTCCTTAACTCTGACCCCACTATCTGTCCACGTATACGTGAGAAACTACGGGAAGGTCCGTAGGATCTGGGATTCGAAATAATGCAGCAATATGCTTGTGCTCTGTGTATTCTGTATATCACAGGATTCGAAATTCCACATGTCCAGACGGTGAATATACTCCACCACTTGCTCGTGTATGTGATGTCGAAACTTGCAACGAGGTGTCAAGTATCCGATTTCTGTCATCATGTTCTTCTAGCTTGTGCTGACCTTCTCGCCCAATACGGTAGACTTCGATTGGAGACGAATCTGGATCTTCCTGGCCCAGGTCTTCCATCGAAGCGAGCGGTTTCTGTTCTGGTCTTTAATCTACCCGATTTGGAATTTAATAAGCCGACTCCTGTGATACAACCGTTTATGGGATTCATGGAACTCGCATATTTTATAATGAAGGGGGTTGAATTACTATCAAGATGGGTGTGATCTATCAAGGCTTGCTGAGTTTTATATATCTGTCTATATATATATATTATAAAGGAGAAGGATCTCCTTGCTTGAGGACGGCTGAGTATTGAGTAGTTTCCACAAGCACTGAAGTTTTCTGGTTGTTACATGGGTCCAGACTCATATACACAGCAATACTTGTGGAGTTTTATTCTCATGGTCATACATGTTTGAGGACTATCTTGGGAGTCATAAAACTCACCATCGTCTCGGTAAAATCCCAACCCGCCTCATTTTAAAATATTATGATTAGTGTGTGATACTGAAAAGGAGGCTAGATGTTACAGTTCAGGACTATGCTCTTACTCGGATGCTTTATGTCAACGGAATGTAAATTGGGAGTAATCGGTGTTCGGTGTTCGGTGCTCTCTTAGTTAAGAGATCGCTCACAACCCACAGACTTTATATTGAAGCGAATGAATATTTGACGATCTCGAACATATTGTAAAAGATGAAAAAATATCGAAGATGTTCTCTCATGAGGAAGCTTCGATAGGGTGTTATTTTTTGCCACGACATTCTGACGGTCTTCGTTGCGCCACACCAATCGCACCCATCTCTCAGTCCGTAGGGTACTTTTGTCCAACCGCTGATATATGTGGCGTCCTAGAGCTCGAGCAGCACCCCCCCTCCACCCCGCCTTAAGACACACACGAAGCACACATGTGAAACCAAATGCTGGCCCCGTATTCGTGACAAGGAAAAGCTTATTTTGTTGAGCTTGGATCCGGTAATAGCCACCAAGTACGCACACCAGGCACTGGGTTCTGATTGCATCGACCCCCGTGGTCAATCGACTTTAGGGCCCCACCGAAACCGCAAAATCATTCTCCACCACCGCCAGTACAGTCATGGCTAGCGTGCCCGCCTCTATTCTCCCCGCACCACTTTGTTACCCCCGTTCCTTCCCCCCACTCGTCTCGAGCATAAAGGCGGGCGGGCCGCAAGGACCGTTGGCCGAGGCAGGCAGGGGCTGGGGCTGGGGCTGCCAGTCGCACACAAAAGAAGGTACAACGTTCCAACCTCCACTTTTAAGAGCGAACCGCTCCGTTCCATCGAGACGCGCCACTCTCTTACCGCCGGGTATCGGCTAGTCGCCCCGTCGCTTTTTCTCCTACCGGCGGTGCGTCGTCTATACCGCTGGATCCTCCGCTCCAACGTTGGGCTTCTTCTTTCTCCGCATGTAGTGGCAAGGGATTCTTCTCGGACCCGAAGAAAACGAAGACGAGTGCTTTCGCGCCGTTAACTCGGGTTAGAAGTAATCGATCTCCGGGTTAGGTAACCGTCGTTGCAGGTTAGTTAGTTATTTCACATGCGTCTTTCTTTATCTTTTTGTTCGTGAACCCGGCCCAAACTACACCAACGATATTATTCCTTTAAAAAAATACTATTCCATGTGTCCCACAACACACGCCAAATATTAAATTAAATCATGGGACAGTTAAAAGTTAATATCGGATGAGATGAGAGAAAAGGCTTCGATTCGCATGGCCAACTAGTCCAGTAAACGACTGGGGCCGATAGGGATTAGGGGATGGGGTAGGGATACCGCGAGATTTAGCCCGGGCCGATCATGGCGAGGATCGGATGACTGGGTACAGACCAGTTAGAGAAGAAGAATCCGACGTGGGTAACAGGGATTGGCCGTGATCCGGCGGCACCTGAGCGAAGCGCGTGCGAGCCAATCACGGGGAAGAGGGGCTGTACACCTAACCTGACCCGGTCCAGAGTAGCTGGCCGCTGGCTTGGACGTAAAGGTCGACGGCCATGGTTCACACGATGCGGCCCAGACCGGATGACAGACCGGGGCCGAGGTCGATGGAGGTCGTGGCGTGGATTGGTCCGGCCCACGAGGAATAAGGCGCATTATTGTTAATAAGTTGGTGTTCTGCTTCATAATCACGAGTCGTTGACCACTGGTGCGTACTTTGGCAGGCGCATATTCGCCGGTGCGAGAGTTATCTTTAGTCCGTTTGCTCTAACGGTGTCAAATCTGGACGAGTTCCGCACTCGATCGATGCCTCCATTGATGGATGGCTCCATTGATCGGTGGGTCGCCCGTGTTGGGCTGGATTGGAGCCCATCAGCCATGTCGACAGCCCTCTCTATCTCTCTGCCGAACCGAACCGAAGGCAGCTCCAGCTTTTACCCACCCCACTGGCCTCGACAGATTGACACGAGCTGCTGCTGCGGTGCTTCTCAGATATTTTCATCTGCTCTTCCCGTGCCGAATATACTTCCGCACCTTCCCAATTCCGCTATCCGAAGGTTCCTCGGGTGGGGTCGATGATGCAAGGCTTGACTGACTCGAGATGGAAGTCTGGCGACCGATTGCTCGCTCGATCCGGACCCGTGTCTGAGCTTTTGACGTGAATTGGGATTCCAGCTATTGAGGGATTGAGGAAGGGCGTAGAGTATGGAACCATTGAAAACAAGTCAGTCGATCGTTTCGATTTCTACACACTCATAGGTTCGTTCGGGCTTTGCTATTGCTATCAATAGCGGATTTCGCTCGAAGCAAAAGGCGAAAGGTCGCCCTTTGTTTGTTTGTCCGGGAAGGAAGGGAAGTCAAGCGGAAAGCATCTGGTCACAATGTGCTTGCGCTTTTTCGAAGAAAAGGCAATTTTATCTCTCTCCATGATTCCTCCCTCTGCAAGACTTCTCTCTTTCACACCCCCCGGGTCTGCTTACTTCGCCCTCGTCCTTCGGACTCGTTGCCCAGAATAGCGCATCCGGTCAGACTCAACTCGCAGCTCAGCTCCGGACTTTCTAGAACCCGCTTGCTCTCCTCTCTCTCTCTCTCTCTCTCTCTCTCTCTCTTGCTTTTTTTACCAAATGTTCTATTTCCATCCAGTGCATGCTGATTTGCACAACGCATTCTGGAGCACACC